CTCTGTCTAAAAAAACAGCAACACATAAATATTTTGTTATCTGGTTGGAAATATTTTCTTAAACCTGACACTTAGAGTATTGACTTATATTCATTCATGCCAGCCACGTGCACCACCAAGCTATGCTACGCTACACATTTTTTGTTTAATGGTTGATTTAGATAGTGTCAACACATTTGAACATAGATTACCAGGTTAATTAAAGTACGGATGTAGTTGAGACAAACAGATCATAAGTTAAGTTTGATTCAATTAAAATTCAATTAACACTTGAATTAAATAGTTTCGATTTAAGTTTGAACCCAACTCAATTTCTTAACGAACCAAAGTAAATTATTTAATATTTGACTCAAAAAATTCGCGAACAACTCAAAAAATAACATTTTTATTTTTTTTAAATTAACTTAAGTTAATATCATGTATTTAAGATTCAGGTTCGAACTCGAGTTTAAGCTTGAACCGAGCTTGAATTTGAGCTTCAATCAAGTTAAATCTGAAAATATTTCGAGTTTAAATTTTTTCGAGCTCGAGTCAAGCTTTAACTTATTTTTAGATAAGTTTTGCTTTTATTACCCAAAAGAGAGCATATAAACTGCTACAAAATAACATAAAACAACATGCTATACCAATGCTCTAAAAAGCAACAACAATAACCAAGCCAAAACCAAAACATAATCACGCAACCCCCTAAGAAAGGATCCCCAAAGCATCACAAAGCTACAAATTTACAGAGTCAAGCCTATCTATACCCTTCCTACTAAATTAAATACCAACAATCTCCCTAATTAAGTGCAAACAACATCAATGGAACGAGTCCAATTTTAACCGACAGTTTCGTTCGGACCAAACAAAATACAGATGCGCACTCCAAGCAACTCTCAAAATGCAAGCAATCAAGGATTTATATTTAAGCATGGATAGAACCCACCAAACTTGATCCCAAGTTATGACCTATCGAGTCAAATGACAGTCACAAAACACCTTCCCATACCTCATTCGAAAAGAAACAAGAGAAGAAAAAGTGGTCTCTCGTCTCCAAATAAAAAAAGGTGCAGTTTTGATAAAGGCGGATTTTAGCAAAGCATACGATACGGTTGATTGGTGGTTCTTGAACTTGATTATGAAGAAAATGGGTTTCGGCAGAAGATGGTGTAAATGGGTCAGGTTGTGCATTTCAACTCCTTCGATTGCTGTCCTAGTAAATGGATGTCCATCAAATAGTTTTTCAATAAAAAGGGGAATCAGACAAGGTTGTCCGCTGTCACCTTTGCTCTTTAACATCGTGGCAGAAGCTCTTAGTGGTATGATAAAGAAGGCGACGGATATAGGTTTGTGTAGTGGGGTGACTGTAAGGGCCAGAGGGGTTGTTTTAACGCATATCCAATTCGCTGACGATCTGCTAATTTTTTTTGATTCAAAAGATGAGTCGATTGTTAATTTTTACCGGATTCTAAAAATCTTCGAAGTGGCAGCCGGATTAAAGCTAAATAAGGATAAAACTAAGTTATTCGGCATAAATGAGGATGAGAGTAGAGTTAGGAGATGGGCTGATTTGATATATTGTGGTTGGGCTAAGCTTCCGTCGAAGTATTTGGGTCTACCTTTAGGGAACCGAAAGAATTCAAAGGCTATTTGGAAGTCCGTCCTGGACAAAATCGAATATCGACTTCAAAGTTGGAAAGGTAAATTGCTCTCTTTTGGTGGAAGATTAACTTTGATCAAATCTGTTTTAGCTAATCTGCCAGTGTATTATATGTCAACATTCTCAATGCCAAAATCCATCGCTGAGCACATTAATTGATGCATAGTGAACTTCATATGGATATCTAAGTCCGATAGGAGCATCCATTGGATTAGTCGAGACAACATTTTTCGACCCAAATCTCATGGGGGGTTGGGCATTTTTGATATCAAAATTAGGAATCGTGCATTGCTTAATAAATGAATTTGGAGATTTAGTGTGGAATATGATAGCTTATGACGGAAGATAGTTGTAGATAAATATAACTATGATAAGGATGCGCTCTTTCCTAAAGCTGTTAATAATAATAAATGCTCTTGGATATGGCGTAACATTGTTAATCCATCGGGGTCTAATCAGTCGAGTTTTTTTGAAGATTGGAGGTGTATAATGGGTAATGGGAAAAAGATTGAGTTTTGGACAGATTATTGGACAGAAAAAATGTGTTTGAAAATCGCATTTCCGAGAATATTCAGTATAGCGGTAAAAAATGCGGAAAAATTAAGGATTATGGGTGTTGGGTTAACGGTGTATGGGAATGGAGAATTGAACTGAGAAGAGCTTTGTTTGAATGGGAAAAGCCAATGTGGAGTGAATTCTTGAATGTGTTGAACAGAGCAGTTAGTATCGAACAAGGTTTAGACAGGCTAATTTGGGTTGAATCACGGGATGGGTGTTATAATCCGAAATGTTATTGTATAAAAATGACTTCCAATGGTAATTCTGAAGACCCAATTTGGAGGTTGGTTTGGTTCAAATTCGTTCCGTTGAAGGTTTCTGGCTTTGTGTGGAAAACAGTTCATCAAAGATTGCTGGTCATGTCTGAACTGGAAAAAAGAAGGGTCAACTGTGGTGATCAGTATTGCTGTCTTTTTTTGCAAAAGTGAGCTGGAAACAGTCGACCATGTTATGTGTCACTGCTCTGTAGTTTGGAAAATTTGGCAACATTGGTGTAGTATATGGAAAGTAAATTTGGTTTTCCCGTCGAATGTTAAACAATTATTAGAGACTTGGTTTTCTCAAAGTATTCGAAGGAGAGTTCGGGGCTTATGGCAACTGGGTTTTTTCGGTATTAGTTGGATTATTTGGTTGAGCAGAAATAGAATCAGATTAAATGGCGTAGCTCTTTCGATTGATCAGATCTTTTATAAAGCTATGCTTCAGATAGGTCTTTGGGCGAACTCTTTATGGCCGACTCTGCTCCCATCGGTTAATGAGTTTGTATGTAATCTGGAAGCCATTGTGAGTGGTGCTCGTTGACTGACAATCTGGTACAATGGCCATCGTTGAGGAGTCTGTGCAATCGTATTTGCAATTTCAACCTCGTCGTTAGCTGCTTAATCTCTCTCTTTGTTTTACAATATGATGCACTATGTTCTTAAAATGCAAAGCAATCACCTCTCTTTATGCAGAATTCAAGCTGCTAATTCTCAAATGGCCCTCTACGGTGGAGTATTCCAGCCAGGAGTCTTTTTCTCGGTGAATGCAAATTACCAATCTTGGTATTAGCTGATCGTTGTTGTAATATTAGTATGTTCATTATGCAGCACTTTATGGATAAGGCACAACCATCTCATTTTATGAACTTGCTTTCTAGATGCTAACACGCATAGTGAACCCCAACCTTGGATTTTTCAGATTTTATTCTTCAATTAATCCATCTGTCATGTGCATATAGTTCATTGTGGTTCGACGGAAGCCTGATATTGCAGATTTTTTGGTTCGTTGTTCTGTTTTATACCGAGGTGGTCTGTGCTGATGTGTCTATGACGTGAGTTTAAGGATGTTAATGCTTCAGGGATAGTTGTTGTGGATTGGGAAACTGGATTCTCTTGCTGGTTGTCTGCAGGTGCTAGGATGATGTATTGGATGATAAATGTTGAGCGATGGTGTACTGCTGCTTCGGTTCAGGACACTCCGGTTGTGTAGGTTTCTGAGTTGTTTGGGGCTGCTGATGGTTGGATTTTGCATGTGTATAGCGTATATGTTTTGGCTGTTTCATTCTGATTGTTGTTACATTTCCGTCCGTTATTAGACTGTTCTCGCCAAAGTGCACTCTTTTTTCCTCCAAATAGGTTTAGAGAGGTTTTTTAATGAGGCATTTGGTTGTGACGTACTTTGTAATTCCGACTCCTTAATACAAAGTATATATTTTTCAACAACAAAAAAAAAACAATCGATCCTTAGTGGAAATCCTCCCCTGGATAACAAGCCAAGAAATAATAACATGTCTAGGAATATGGAGTGGGAATCAAATCAATCTATCTATGAAACCACCTCCCCTTTAGATCGGGCTTCAGACCATAACCAAGAGGCAGTAACCATCCCCCAATCAGCCACAGACCCAAGCAAAGGGTAAGCCTCCTCCCTCAATTTGAATATCCTTCTTACGCATCAACTGAAATAGCTCTTATCGACTGCTTGCCACGATCCAACGCCCTTCAAGACATAAGTGTGTATCCAAGCAACCCACAAAGAGCCTTGTCCTGCCAAGATATTCCTTATAAGGGGAAGTTGTCAAATCTCTTAACCCAAGTCCACCCTCCGACTTGGGAGAACAAATCTGTTACCAACTGACTTTAGCCACAACAGCAGAGGAATCATCCCCTTCCAGAAGAATCGGACATAAAGTTGCTCAATAACCTTGATGACAGCCTGAGGCAAAACAAGCTGCCTACAATAGTAATGTCCCAAATATAGCTTTAATATTCGTGATGAGAGGATAACAATTTTTTCTCTGTCAATTTTCTAGTAATTAAGGAAACACCGAAGTACTTAATTAGAGAAGTTTCAACTTTTTATTTAGAGTTGAGATTAAAAATTTTATGCTTGCAAGTTAAAATTTTGTATTAATTAGCATATTGATTTAATTTTACTTTCTAAAATATGATTGCTCAAGTTTAACAATAAAATGATCTGTGGTCTAATTTACTCTTACTATTAATTACCGAAAAATATAACATATATCTAAGAGGTACAGACAAAACAAAGTTCAACGTGAAAATATAATATGTTAGATTTCAACATCTCAGGACACTCATCTAAATAAAATATGTAATCGATTACTTAATTTCCATCGAACACTTTGAATTTTTCCTACTGATTTACCCTTTTACTCAACCCTACCCTAGTTTGAGGTTGGTTTACAAATTACAAGTTGTCAAAAGATGACAACGATTTGCAACAGGGGCGACGAAAACGATGGCGTTTTTAATTCTCCGGATAAACAATCCTCTTCCACTTCTTCAATCTTCTGTTGAACCCTTGTTCGAGCTCGTCATCCTATTAATGTCTGAGCTTTCTAGATTCGATGAGAAAATTCAATTTGGAAGTAATGAGCTGTAAAGCTGTTCGAAACAGGCATCCCAACAAGGATTCATTTTAAAAGGTTAGTGGAAGCCTTCAATTCTTCTGCTGTTTTTTTCTAGCTCTTGCTTTGTTGAAATCATATGTATAGATTTTAATGAATTATATGCTCGATGGGTCGTTTTTGTAGCACAAAAAAAGTAGGTTTATCTTAAAATATGGAAAGGAATTATGTTCTTTTGGTGGCCATTTTTCTGCTGCTAATTGTTGTGGGTTGCTCTGGTAATGATTCGAAGGTGAGTTTCGTTAGTAATTTAAGTTTATTTAATGTGTTAAGTTTGTTGATGGGTTTAAGATGGTTTCTCATTGATGTTTGGTTTTAGGGAAATGGTGATGTAAAGACTGGTTTAGATCTAAATGCTGATGGCAAGGACGATCCAGTTATAGAACTAGTTGGCTCTGAATCTGTTCCGGATTCGATTAAAGATAATGGTAGAGATCAAACTGATGGATCAGAGAGGGGTGTTGTTAATGATGCTAGTAAGAGCGATTTGAACCAGCATTCGGGTTCAAATGGAGGCAAGAACTTGGTGAAGGATGGGAAAGAATCGAGTGGTGAAGAAAAAGGAAATATGAACAATGGGAAGGATAACGGAGGAGATCAAATTGATGGATCAAAAGAGGGTGCTGGTAATGATGCTAGTAAGAGTGATTTGAACCAGCAATCGGGTTCTAAAGAAGGCAAGAATTTGGTAAAGGATGGGAAAGAACTGACTGATGAAGCAAACGGAAATACGAATAGTGGGAAAGATCACGGAGGAGATCAAATTGATGGATCAAAAGGGGGTTCTTATAATGATGCAAGTAAGAGTGATTTACACCAGCAATCGGGCTCAAATGAAGGCAAGAATTTGGTAAAGGATAGGAAAGAATCGAGTGGTGAAGCAAAAGGAAATACGAATAGTGGGAAAGACCATGGAGGAGATCAAATTGATGGATCAAAAGGGGGTTCTGATAATGATGCAAGTAAGAGTGATTTGCACCAGCAATCGGGCTCGAATGAAGGCAAGAATTTGGTAAAGGATGGGAAAGAATCGAGAGGTGAAGCAAAAGGAAATACAAATTGTGGGAAAGACCATGAAAGAGATCAAATTGATGGATCAAAAGGGGGTGCTGATAATGATGCAAGTAAGAGCGATTTGAACCAGCAATCAGGCTTGAATGAAGGCAAGACTTCAGTGAAAGATGGGAAAGAATCAACAAATCGTGAGCAAGATAAGGGAGGAGAGCATATTGACAAATCAGATAAGGGTCCAAAGAAAGTGAGCAAAGAGGAAGAGATTATACAGGGCTCGGTCCAACCACCACCTCCATTACCAAGGAACGATGGCTTTCAAGTTGCAGAGTGTGATTCATCTAATATGTGTATGAATATGAACAAAAGTTTTGCCGCCTGTTTGCGAGTTGCAGGAAATGGTAAGTGTCCCCTATTTTGGATTTCATTGGCTGTGTCATTCTTTTATTGTAGACATTTCTTCGAAAGTTTGCGAGTTTCTAATAATAGAAAAGAGTATGAATTTTCAGTATTGACGATGATCACATTAGACAATATTTGACCTTTTTTACTTGGGTTTGCAATATTCCAGATTCTCCCAATCTGTTACTTCTGATTCAGAACAAGGGAAAGGGGCCTCTTACCCTTAAAATATCCGCTCCACCTTCTGTTCAGTTAGAGGAAACGGATGTTGAACTCGAAGAGAATCAAGATAAAAAGGTATTTGTAAACAATACTGCAAGTTGTTTCTCGTTTAACCGACTTTGTTTTTTTAGCACAACTTAGATGGTTTTAATTGTGTCTCAATTACTCGTCCTGCGATCAGTTCTAATGCCATTTAACACAGGCACACCTGAAAAGAAATCGGGATCTGAAGAAAGTTGATAAACTTTTGTAGCCACCATCTTAGCACATTTTGTTGTTTGAATACTTTTTTTTCGTTATTGCTTCGTTTTAGAGATGAATACCACAAGTACCCTTTTGCTGCTGGAATGAATACTGATACCCTTTGCAAAAAGAGTCCGTTCTGCATGAACTTTTATATGTTTCATCAATTGACATGATCTGTGATTTTCAAGTAGATATTTATCTTAATGATTACGCTGTCCGGATGGTGCTACTGTGAGCATTTATTGCTTTGCTAATGGTATTTATAATATAAGAATGTTGTTTAGTTAATTGTGTTTACGCAGGTAAAGATTTCCATAAAAGATTCCGGAACCGGAAATTTGATTGTCTTAAAGGATGGTACCAGCGATTGCAGTCTTGATTTCAAGGATTTGATTCCTCAAAACTCGGCCAAGTCCTATGTAAACATCTTGTCACTAACCCCTACAACGGCCTTTATATTTGCCGCTGCTATACTGATGTTAGTGTCATGTTGGATGGGGAAGAGCTTTAGATGGAGGCAACTCGCTAGAAGTGGCTCAAAATACCAAAGGCTAGACGCAGGGCTGCCCGTATCTAGTAGGGCAAGGAGAGAACCAGATGTTAACGATGGTTGGGATAACAGCTGGGGTGATAATTGGGACGACGAGGAAGCACCGGTGACACCTTCAATGCCTAAAACTCCTAGCGTCTCCTCTAAAGGCCTTGCATCCCGACGATTGAATAAGGATGGATGGAAGGACTAACCTCGTCTTCATTTACTTAAGCAACCGAAACCGTCTTCTTTTACGTAAGCAACCGAAACAAGAGTACGGAAAAAAAACAATACATCAGTATAGATTCTTGTTTAATTTAGACAGTTAAGGTAGTCTTTTTTTGTTTCCTAAATTCTTAATTGAAATGGAAATGGGAACCTGAAGAGAAAATAACATGATGAGGGGTTACCTGGTGTTATTAATGTAGATTTGCCAAGCAGTAGTTTCTGAGTGATTGCTATCCAGTTAGAGATGCACAGAAGCCGGATTTCAATCCGATCCGGATCGGATAAAAACCGATCCGGTTTTTTCTCCCAACCCAAAAACCGGATTTTAAAAAAACCGGTTCGGATCCTAACCGGTTTAGAGGGTCGGATGGTGTAACCGGTGTAACCGGTTTCGGTTTGCAAAAAACCGGTTTTTAAAAAAAAAAACGGATTTTTTCGGATAAAAAACCGGTTTTTTATCCGGTTTGAAAAAAACCGGTTTTTAATCCGGTAAAAAAATCTGTCGTTCAATTTTTTTCTCAAACCAGTTATACTATCCGGTTTTTAAATATCCGATCCGGTTTAAAAAAAACCGGTTTTTCCAAAATCCGGTTTCGGATATTTTTTACCCAAAATCGGATATTCGGATTTTTTGTGCACCTCTATCCAGTACCCACAACTTCTTATAGAGGTTTAGTAGTTACATTTAAAAAAAATATTTTAATTATTTATGCGATATTTAATAAGAATCTTAATAACATGTTAAATGACCGATGATTAACTCTCTTTATTGATGTGATAAAATTTATAAAATGATGATATGACATGTGCACATTACCAATTTAGACATATAATACGTGTCACATCATTAATTTGAACACATAGATCATGTTATGTTGTTATTTTGGAAATGTGACGTGTCACGTAATTATTGAGGACACATGATACGTGTCACATCATCATTTGTGTGCATGTATGATATCATAATTTTAAATACATGACATGTACTTATCGTATCATCACTTATTTACGTCAGTACATGTGATATGTGACACATTAGTACTTTAATCTTCTCACGATAGCGAAGAACATTGATCGTTAATCAATTAACGATTTTCATATAACTATAGATTATTTTACTCTAAAATAAAACGTTAGATCTAAATACACTAAAAAAACCTAAAAAGACCATATAGTGTATAATTTCCTTATAAGCAAGCATTTAACCTCAACGTTTGGTTGAGGGGACAGCCTCAATATTTCATTGATTGTCGAGGGAGAACTCGAACTCAAACTGTTGGGAAGAAAATCTCACCTCCAAATTACCAAATTAAACTCATGAAGACAATTTATTTATCTTATAATTGTATTAGGTTCATCCATTTCCATCGTCTCAATCAATTTTTTAGTTACTCTTAGTCATTTGACATTGAAAATTTATATCTCTGTATATATGGTGTTCGAATCGAAACCTCAAAAGATAACAATAATTCCTTAACCACTTAATTCTATTAATTTGTGTTCAAATACTTTTTTTTTAATTCCTCGTTTATGCACATAATCTGTACTTGCGCCTCGAGGCAAGCAGCCTCTACAATGCTTAGCTTCTTAATAAGAATTCTAAGACAATAACAAAGTCAACGTGTATCTAATCTTACTCTATATACACTTATGATGTTTTCGGAATAAAGAAATTTCCTCCCTATTTCATATAATATAATTATATTCTCGAACATGATTAATTATTATAGAACGAATCAAACTTTTGACCGAACATACTCTTAATCTTGCATAAAAAACCTAACGTGCTGCTGTCACCTTTACACGCTATGTTCTTTCTTACGGACTTACCCAATACCTTCCTTTTCCTCGAACACTTTGTAAGAAAACCTATATATATACACACACACCGATCTTGTATTTATAACTTAAGCATCGCACACTCGATCCATATAGTTCTTTAACTTATACACCATGGGAAATTGGTCTTTGCTTGGCCGCCTAAGGAGGGTCATGAGGAAGGTTAAACTGTTGCTGAATTTTGGTACAAATCGATGTCGTGTCGCTTCCATGATTGGTGATGCTTCTCGGAGGCTGAGCTTCATGGATAGGTCGGGGTTGAGCACGTATGTGGACAACGTCCATGATTTGGGTCGTTGTTCGAATAGGATGGTGCGGACGGTGAGTTATCGATCGGAAGATGATATCGATGTGAGAGCGGAGATGTTCATCGCAAATTTTCATAGACAACTTCGGATGGAGAGGCAGGTCTCTTTGCAGTTCAAATACCTTGGTGGCTACACTTCTCCCTGATTCATTCATTCTTTTTATGGGAACAGTTTAGGTCATGGAAGACTATACGTTTTATTAGAGGTTTGTCCATTATTGCGAATTCGATTTGAAATTGTGTGATTTTTAATTGATTAATTAATTATTTTTTTAGAGACAGTAAATTTTTTTAAACCTTAAATAAAAATTTACATATACATACAAATTACATTGATCGAATCCGAGATACCAAGAAAAAATTACTATTTAAATATATGATTTATTGTTATTAATGATTGTATTTTTATTTTTAAAATAAATAAAATGAGTTTTTTTTTTTTGAATAATCGTCCTCTTCTTCATTCGTCCGAACATTTTTTATAGATAAACTAAATATTTTATCACTAAAGTTTTTCATACACATATTCTTGTTATTGAAGTTAAATTTTGTTTAACTTAATTACTGAAGTTTAAACATTGAACTTCTTTTATTACTCTTGCATTTTCTTAATTACTATCCGACGAGGTGACTTATTTTATTATTTTTTCAGACACATAAAACTCTAGAGTTCTCGATGCTCGATTAAAATGAATATATCTTGAGTTTCCAATGTTCGATTGAAGCGTTCCAAGACGTACTGAAAAGATAATTGACAACCAATCGTATTATAAGAAGACTTAACTAGAAATGTCAGGATCCCATTAAAAATGTCACAAGTCGATTAATATTTCGATCTTAAAAAACAAGTTTTATTTTTTTATCTAAAATAATGAATTTTAAACGTAAAAAGATATATATAGTGAACATTACATACTTAATGAAAATTTAGAAAATTAAATCGAAGGATACGCAAAAAGGCTCAAGCAATGTCATGACTAGTTTATCGATTCCACTTCAAAGTGGCTGAAGGAAGTAGAGAACAGTCTTAAGAGTAAAAAAAGGAATTGAACGTTATTACATAAAATACTGGTTTTGTAATTAAATTCCTATAAAGTAATTAATATATTGATTAATTTATCTTGATTAGGTGATTGGTTAGAATCTTTAACACCTTTCTGTTGAGTACCATTTCCCATGCAATTGTAAGATTAGAACCGATATTTACTCCACCATTTTAGGAAAATAATTATATAACTGAAAATTTAACATGAAAATATATAACCGCCAAAATCTAAATTTGGTAATCACTCCCAAAAATACGCACTTCATTAACTCTGAGCTCTCGGCTTGTTTATACCAAATCAATCCTCCAAAAACCGAATCACAAAAGAAAAAGAAAACATGAGCTCTCAGATTTGCAAGTCTGCTTATAGAGCTATCCGATCACTCCTTTCGGCTTCCAAGAACTCTCGATTTTGCTCCGGTGATTTCCTCATCTTATTGTTATTCCATCGCTTCCTTTTTCTGCGTTTTTTGTTGTTGGAAAGATTAGCGATGGATTGTGAATTTATTTCTCGATGAATATGTTTCCTCATAATGCGAAATATTGTGTTTATGTGCTTGTTTGTTCAGTTTTGTGATATTTTAAATCTCTGATAATTAATTAGTTTTAGATCAAATCGTCTGAATCATTTTCAACTTTGATTGTTTATCAAGTGTCGAAATAAAATTATTTTTGTGTTTATGTGCTTGTTTGTTCGGTTATGTTCGTTTATGTTCGTTCGGTTATGTTCGTTTATGTTCGTTCATTTATGTTTAACCCAATCTTCTTAAATCAATTTTGGTGACCAATTTATAAGTATCTTAAAAATATTAATTAATCTGATATTCTGATGACCAACTCCATAATTAACCTAATTTTATTTGGAGTTTAAATCCAATATGTTAACCCGTAAGACACCTCGCACCTATATTCATTTCCCCCTTTTTCTCCCAAACCCTAGTGTTCACTGGAGAATGCAGACGATCGGTTAAAGCTTCCAAACAAGTTATATTATAGTGCAATCTGAAGTTTTACAAGTCTGTTTTCATCTCTTTCTCTGTTTTATTTGGCTTAATAGTTGATATGTAAAGTTATTGTGGAAGTAATGGGTTTTCCTGGAAGAACCCATTGATAAGTAGAAAATACACTTTGACAATGAACTTTTGTTTTTATAGTTCTTGTGTGACCTTTAGTTGTAGAGTATACTTTAGGCACGTTAAAATTTTGAATGGTGGTTTAGCAATAATATCAGTTACGATATGTAGCATTGGAGGGATTTCAAATCTATGTTATTGCCTTGTAGTCTAATTTGTATTGTTCGAAATCTTCATGCTGTTAAATTTTCTACTCTACCAACGGAAATGACCATTATTAACAAATCTCACTAAAGTCTGACATTGATGTCACAAAACTTTTAGCCGGCGAATTTATTAGAATAACGTAGTGGAAAATGATTGTTCATATGTAATCATAGACCACTAAGATAAATGTTATAGCGTTAAATTAAAGTCATGTGAATCATTTAATATCTTTAAAAGATCGATCGAAATTATCTGATATCTTCAAACATTTCATCACTGCTAATCAGCTCTTACGCTATTTATCAATGTAGATTTGATTGATTTGCATTGTCGACTATTTTTTATGAAAGAACAATGGAAGATAGGGTCTCCAATGTTCGTGTTCGTTTATATTCGTGTTCGTGTTCGTTTATGTTCGTTTATTTATTAAATGAACGAACATGAACAAACTATATTCCTTAATGAACGAATATGAACAAACAAAAAAATTGTTTGTTTATGTTCGTGTTCGTTTATTTATTAAATGAGCAAACATAAACATACCTCCGTTCGTGTGTGTTCGGTTCGTTTACAGGCCTACTTGCAACGCTTTTTTTTTCTGCATTTTTTTTTTGAGAGATTGGCGATGGCTTGTGAATTTATTTCTCGATGAATATGTTATATGTTTCCTCATAATGCGAATTATTGTGTTTAAGTGCTTGTTTGATCGGTTTTGTAATATTTTCAATCTCTGATTCTTAATTAGTTTTAGAACAAATCCTCTGAATCTTTTTCAACTTTGATTGTTTATCAAGTGTGAAAATAAAATTATAATTTCATTTGAATACTTTTGTTTCCTTGCATTAACTTTTTTTAATATATTGATATTTTTATTTCAAACTCAATATATTTTGAAATAATAGTTTCTGATCTGTTAACCCAAAATCTGCATCCATATATAAGTAAAAGGACATAAGGGATTCGAAGAATAAATATATAAAAAAGCTAGAAAAGTAATTATATTCGTATAAAAAAATATATCATATCCATTATTCATACTTGAATCTGTTAAGAGAACCTTCTCAAGGGAAAGATTTGGAGAGAAATGTCTCTTTCTTCTGGTTTTCAGAATTAATTATCTTTTTGTTGAAAAGAGGGTGGGCAGGGGGAGAAATCCACATTTCATGTTTTTAACACCTTTTTCATCATTCACCGCCACTCTTGAATTTTACTCTAATATTAGATTATTGTTCTACTGGTGTGCAAAGTTTGCTCATATTCGCTTCAATTCTATTATCTGTTCTTTCTTGCTTTTCATGATTCATACCGTGATGTGATCTCCTTGTTGTTGGACATTTGTTAAATTTTGAGTTTCTTGTAATCTTATATTCAAGTCGACTGTCTCGGTTTTAGATTGAACACTTAAAGAACTTATCCAATCCTGACGGCACATGTTAGATGTAGAAAGTTCTTATACAATAATGTAACCCCCACAGACCGATAAGGGTAGCCCTATCCGATCCGGGGTGTCACATTAGGGCCACCGGAGCGACCCACTGTAAAAATAGCGGAAAATTTAAAACTTTTTTTTATCAGAACATGCAAACTTATAAAATCATTTGTCGCTATTTAAAAATAAAACAGATTTTCAGACTCGTATATAAATCAAAATACAATTACATGCTCCCTAATCACATGTACCATACTCTGCAACAACGCCGGAAGAACTCCCTTACTGAAGTCGATAGATGCTCTGGTACAATTCTTTTAACCTGAAAATGTGAGTAATAGAGTGAGCTTTGGAAAGCTCAGTAATACAGAACTACCAGATGATGCTGAAGAACGTGCAGATACAAATAAACATATTTTTCCTTATCGATTCAGACATTTACAGATCTTTATACTGAGCAGAGATTCTACGGATATTTCAGGTAGTAACAAATAGTATTCATTCCAGATGGAAATATTTCGGATGTCTAGGTTCAGGATATCAGAATAGGTTTTCTAGTGTATTCCCAAAAACCATGTAACTTTTCAGATCTTTTTAAAACATATATATATACCTCCATCCCAACACAACATAATGTGTAGGTTCCCCAGAACCATACACCCAACCCAACACAACATGTAAGGCCCTGAGCACAAAGCCGAGGAACCTGCGGAACTTCTTCCTTCAACAATACCCCCATTTAAAACATTTCTCCGTTGGTAAACGGAGATATCAAAAATCAAAACATAATTCAGATCAGATATCATAACAGAATCCAGGTTAGGAATCAGAACAGATTTCAGATCAGATGTTTAAACAGAATTCAAATCAGAAATCAGATAAAATATTCATATAAGTAGGGAACACACTAGAGTTTCCAGATATTATTTAGAGATACAGGATAATCTTATCGGGCAGAGAAACGCAAATCTTCAGTTTACCAATAGAATGCCGGAAATTAGAATCACTATTAGAAGAATTTGTTAACTGACAAAATCATCGGTTATTCAGGATATGATTCATCGGGATCATCTTATTCGAACACTTTTCTGAAGCTCTACGAAATTTGAAGGTATTCAGAATCTTTATAATCTATGACGATTAATCCGAATATCGAATAACTCCAGATGAATAGCTTCTAGAACCAATACTTACCAACTTGTCAATTCATTAACCTTTCAGGGTATTTACTCTTTAATACCAAATATTCTTATCCATAAATCATCATCTGAGTCATCACTGAATAGATCTTAAGGAGACAAGCAAATATTCTAATGGTCTTTATTTTATTTCCATGTTTCAACTATACCATGAAATGCTGACGTACTTGATTTGTGGTTCAAAATCCATAGGGATGATATATCATATAAGTTCATCCGAGTTTCCAAACTTATTCCAATCTCTTACTTAATCCTCAGTCATTGAGGTTACTTAGTTCATTTAACATTCAAGTCCAATCCAGTTACTTCGGGATTTTCCCGAATAATTTAAACGTTCCTGAATTTCAGATACATGTTGTACTTCCATTCCATTCAATTTGGTCTTTGTGGTTGATTTGTCGAACAAACGTCCAATTCTTAGTACTGAATACGATCTAGATCTTAGCTGAACTGAATACTTCCAAAATTTGTCATCGAGCCAAACTTGAGAAGACGAACACATATTCCAGTAATATCTATGCCATTCAGGTATTAACATAGCTTTAGGGTTGATCTACTCACTTAAATTATTTCCCATTACCTTTAAAGGTAGTCCAATACCTATGCTTACTTGGATTCCTTAATTAATCCAAGACATTTACTAAATTTAGGCCATAAGGGTATTTTGGTAATTTTGATGTTCAGTTTTATTCCATTCATTTCAGAGCTCGAGGATATTCAATCATTCCTGAGCTTGGTGACATTCTTGAGTCATTTCCATTACAGGGGTATTTTTGTCATTTTACAGATCCACGGTATTTCAATATTTTTCCTCCATTCGGTCTTATTATTAATTCAATATCATTATTTGTTTCAGTCCTTTCGAATAATTCTGACAGCAGAATACCCCCGATAAATTATTCTTCAGGTATTTACTCATTTCTCAGATATTTTCGGGTCAAGTGCCTTCTCAGATTTTACAAACGGAATATCATAAATTTTCCTGCACTAAGTCGGGATCTTAACAATTAAATCCGTACTTAATCGAGTTAAGTACGAATCCTCTAAGTATTTTCTCATTCAGAGTCATCTCAGACTATTCTACCTCTTAAGGGCATTTCCGTAATTTCTTAACCAGATAAGTTCGATATTAGCTCTTAACGAAAATAATATAATTTAAAGATCCTATGATTAATTGCTTTCTTGAACAATCTCTGATCTTGAAATAATTCCCTTAACACACTTCTAGTATCTTGCATAAACCCTCTTGGGGTTAAAAACCGGTTATCCATAATGTCTACGTATAACTATCATTTCTTATGCACATCAATATTTTTATCAGATCAATATGTCTGTAAAATCCTCTTATCTAACTTCCATATTCCAATCTTGTCTTTTATAACACAAGGGTATTTTCGTAATTTTACCCTACCGGAGTATTTTTATAAATTCACATCCAAATGCCTTTAACATTTAACCTTTGATGAAATAAATTACAAGTTACAGATCCAGGTTGATTTCTTTACCACTAAG